AAGAAAAACTTTATTAACAGGATTTACTTCAAGTTTACGAAACGATCCATTATTCTTATAAATATAATCAACTATTCTACTTTTCTGTTTTACATTCATTATCAATATAAAACGTTCCTTTATTTCAACATTTTTTAAATAAATAAATTCTCTTTTTTCTTTCCAATCTTCGTTTATCTTTAATCCAAACTCAACCATTCTACCTTTAATTTGGATCTTCATCAGAACAACCAAATAGAAGAAAAGAATAATAATAAATTTTTTCATCTTAAATTTTAATATTAAAAATATTTTATAAATTACAAATAAAAGTTTAAAATATTTAACATAATATTTAACATAAGTGTAAAATAGAATATAAATAAAATAAAATAAAAAATAGCATATTAAAATAGATGCCAAAAATTGAAACATATTCTAATTATTTGTTTACCCCGTAAATAAATAGGGATGCATTTTAAATATTTAATTAAATGCTAAAGGCATTAGATCTTTTTCGAAATTTCGATTTTCACTTGGACAAAGCAAGATTCGAACCAAGATTTCAAACAGCTAGTAAAAACAGAGCCGAAGTACAAATATAAACAAATAAAAATTATTATTGACTAATTATATTAACCGCGGTATCTGACAAAATGTACAAATTTTAAAACACATAAACAAAAGTCATAAACTAAACATTTTTTAAATAGAATTTGACTTAAATTTCATAAACCAATAAATATTGGAATAATTAGAATACCCCGTGTTTAAAATCCGGGGTATTTATTATATAAATTTAATTAATGATGAGACCCTATAATAATACTCATTATTTCGACCCAAAACAGTGTTTTTTGTGCATATCTCATCAAGACTAGTTCGCAAAAAAAATAGAGAAAAATAGAAAATAGAGAAAATAGAGAAAATCGCTCTGGCAATCATCCAAAAAATACTATCGGGACTACTGAGCATATCGCCAATACAAATATTTTTATACTCACATTTAATAAACTTTAAATAAATAATTTAATATTAAACACATTTTGATTTATCTATTGACCGTGGATTAGTTTGCGTTTCCTTTTTTAAAACTATTAATTAATTTATTAATTTCGAGATAAGATTCATTTAATTTAAAAGGAAAGGCAGCTTAAAAAATGTAATATTTCATTTTTTGGAAGCCAAGCAACGCTTAGGCTACATTCGACGATATTTATGGGCCTGTATATTGAATTTAGAAATTATTTAACACGAATTTCTTTCTTGTTTCTCTGAGTTTCTGAAGGTTTATCGAACTGTAATCACCGCATGGAAAGAATTTTGCCGACGTCTGAAGTAAAGTGGTCCCCGAGTAATCTCGATTGCAATAAACGAGAGGCATAGTCTCTGACATAAGGAAAAAATGCCTGCTTTAAGTTAAACATTTACTTCACTACGTACAGTGGCGGAACTTTAAATAGGGAAAAATATTTTTAATTTTATTTCTGAAAATTCGGAACTTTACTTTTATATGGTTTTATAGCTTTATTTATAAGCTATCAAATGACTACAAATCATTAAAAAAAGTTTCCACTTTAAGGCAAAAAAATCATTTATCTATGTTAACCTTATAAAGTGAGCGGAAATTTAAATAGGGAAAATTTTTATACTTAGTTTTTTATGGAAAATCAAAATAGAAAAAATTTGAAAAAATTTTTAAGATCTTCTCTAGTGATATGATGAATAATGATAAAAAAATCCAATTTTATTTCATCCCAATCATCGATAAATGATTTTTTGCCTTAAAGTGAAAACTTTTCTTTTAATGATTTGTAGTCTTTTAATGATTTGTAGTCACCCAAGATAAATGATTAGCCTAATAATTTTTAGAAATAAAATTAAAAACATTTTTCCCTATTTAAATTTCCCCACTGTATATTCGATTTACAGAATTTTAATTAAAATTTTTGACAGAACTAAACCCTATGAGTCAAGCCATCGTTATAACTTAATTATAATTTAATGTACTCCCTTATAAAATTTTATTGTAGAACATAATAATCATTATAAAACTTAATTACTAGATGCGAATTTCGATAAAAATTTAATTTGAAATCAATTGATAGAAACATAAAAAATTACAAATCCAAAGTTTTATCATGTTATTGGGCTTAAAGTATTTAATTGGATATAAAGTCGAATTGTAGTTTTAGAAAACAAGTGAAATATATTTATAATTTAAACCCTGAAAATAAAACCAAAAATAAAGAAAAAGAATAACAATCTCAAGGAATGTGAAAAATTAAGGTCAAAATAATAGTAAATCGTATGTAGTTTATGTGTAAACTTCAAAAGTTATAAATACATATCGCTATGTTGTAGAAAAAATAAAAGATTATTTAGGAAACAGAATGAATTTAATTTAATATACTTTATTTTTTGTTGGTTTATATTGCCAGACTCCAACAGATTTTTTTGATTTCTAATTTGTTTTCTTTATTCTTTGCTGTCTTTTGTAACACGTATCACATATATAGTGTTCAGGTTTTGTATGGCGGTACCAATTTGATGTTTTTGTTTCCCCGCAAATACAACAATTTCGATCTTGTGTTATTCGCTAAAATATTTATAGATATAGCGTAAAATATTTTATAGAATACTCAACAAGTTGTATACCTGGATATTCTATTAGAGATTTTACTATATTTTATTTATATATTCCTGATATTTTATTTATCATAGAGCCATAAAAATTTCGAAAATAAACTTTTATAAGGATATATGAGGTGAAAGAATTATATAAAATCTACTTATTTTTCCATCTATACTAAACCTGTTTATTAAACAATTGTAATTTTTTCCCTAAATTCTCAAAATAAAAAACCTTTTGTTTATTACCTCTGATCTAAATTTTCCATATATGCGTTTATAATTGCGGCACAAGTGGCACAAATTATGGGCTTTTAAATAGTTTCCCCATTGATATGTTTGTCTTACACCACAATTGAAACAATTTCGTTTATTATCTTGAATAGTATCACCTATAATAATCATGAAAATAATATTTTAGTTAGAAAAAATAAACATTTTATAAAAATTTATTTACTTATTTTGTTGCCAATATAAATAATTTTGCTTTTTAGTTCTTTTTTGGGATATTCAAATTATTGTTTTTCTAACAATTCAATTTTATATCCAATTAAATTAATTTCTGTCCAATAACTTGTTGACAGTTTGTTTTTATAAGATTCTATGTTTTCTTTTAATATTTCTTTTTTATTTATTTTTATTTCCACTAATCTTTCTTTTAATATCGTAGTTTCATAATAATAATTATCCATGATAAAATTATTATTGAAGCGAATCTTAGAAATATAAGTCTGTATATTATCGAATAATCAACTATAAATACCTGTTTTACAAAATTTTTCAGAAATTCCTCAACAATTTCATTATTGGCAATTTCAATCAAAATTCTCATTTTTAATTGAGAACTAAATTTAGGCCCATGATTTAGTTTAACAAGAAAAACTTTATTAACAGGATTTACTTCAAGTTTACGAAACGATCCATTATTCTTATAAATATAATCAACTATTCTACTTTTCTGTTTTACATTCATTATCAATATAAAACGTTCCTTTATTTCAACATTTTTTAAATAAATAAATTCTCTTTTTTCTTTCCAATCTTCGTTTATCTTTAATCCAAACTCAACCATTCTACCTTTAATTTGGATCTTCATCAGAACAACCAAATAGAAGAAAAGAATAATAATAAATTTATTCATCTGAAATTTTAATATTAAAAATATTTTATAAAATACAAAGAGTAAGGTTGCGGATAGTTGGAAATTTTCCGATATCCGTATCCAGTATCCGAACCGGAAATTTATGATATCCGGATCCGAATCCAAAAATTTTTTTTCAAAGTTTGAGTCCCAAAGTTGAGTCCCATGGAAGGATATTTCGGGATTAATATATGAACGAATTGTGGATTAACAGAGTTTGCGAGGGAATTTAAAATTATCAGAAATTTATGTGTAATCAATGTTGAAAGTCTTATATTTTATCTGATGATTTGTAAGAATTTAATGGATTTATTAAAATAGAGCATTATTTGGATAACTATTCAAATTTGGTGGAGTAATCGAATTATACGGAGATACGCATAGCATATCAGATTCTTATTCAGAAGAGAAGGCGTCATTTGACGAGAATCCAAATTAAACAATTTTGAAATATAATTCTAATAAAAATGTCTTAAACTAGTGAATATTCGAATAATTTGAAAAAACTTGTTTAAAATCTATGAAAATATTATAATAATTTAATTTTGTATAGACACTATAAATAAATAGTCTCATTTTGACATTTGCATCATATGCTAAGTTAATAAGAGCTGTTCGAAATTTCGATTTTTGACATCGCAATCAAGATTTCGACCCGAGTATTGCGAAACAAGTCTTAGAGATAAAAGGGGGTACAAATCTAACCAAACTACAAAATTTTATTTACTAATTATATTAAACAAAGTGCAAATTTTTAAGCAAATCGGTGAGAAAATAAATATAAAATAACATAAATATATTTCTCAATTTACCGCCTTATTTATATTTTAATTTATTTAGCCATTTAGGGATTTTTAAAATTTGCACTTTTGTTTGTTTTTTAATTTGTTTATATTTTTACCTACCATAAGACTTTCACACTGTATGGAAATATTTGAGTGATTCGGAATATTGGTAAAAACCAAAAATATGGCTGAAGTAAGGTTGGGTTGGTCTTTATTAAATAAAAGCAAAAAATAAAGGAAAAGTAAGGTAAAAAATCCTAAATAAAATAGCCATTTTAAAAGGCTATTTTATATTTTAAATAAATTATAAACAAGTTTACCGGGGTCGGTCACAACAATGATAATAGAGAGTAAAAATCGTAAATTACATAGATAATAATTAGGGAATTCGGATATAAATAGGAAGAGAAAATCTCAATTTAATTATTTATGTTTAACCATTTGTTGAATATTGTGAAATATTGTTAAAATATTGTTGAAATAAAAATTCTGAGAAAGTTGAGGAGTGATAATTTGAATAATGAAGGGAGGGAAATGTTAATTGAATTATCTTTACTGGGTTTAGTGTATTCGGGAAGGAAAAGTAATGGTAACTGAAATGAATTACAGACAAAAAGGAAATAATTATAAATGGATAATGTCAAGATAGAGAGGAAGGTAGTTACTGGGAAAGAATAGGCGTAATGAATAGAAATAATAATGTGAAATAATTCCGGGTTGAGACTTAGTAAAATAATATAACGAGTCCGGGACATACAATATAATAAATAGTCGGGAATTTAGAATTCTCTAAATTTATTTAAAGTTTTTATATTTATTTTTATTTATTTATTTTTCACTGAATTGACTTTAAAATTGCAATTTTTGCCAATTGCACTTTTAATAATATTCGTCAATTAAGTTATTGTAGTTTATTTACTTTTGTATCTTTTAATGCCTTGTGAGTGTCTTAAAATCGTTGATTAAATATAGAAAATCGAAATTTCGAAACAGCTCCTTTGCCCTTAGAATTTGATTAAAATGCCAAAATAATACACTATTTATTATAGGGTCTCATCATTAATTAAATTTATATAATAAATACCCCGGATTTTAAACACGGGGTATTCTAATTATTCCAATATTTATTGGTTTATGAAATTTAAGTCAAATTCTATTTAAAAAATGTTTAGTTTATGACTTTTGTTTATGTGTTTTAAAATTTGTACATTTTGTCAGATACCGCGGTTAATATAATTAGTCAATAATAATTTTTATTTGTTTATATTTGTACTTCGGCTCTGTTTTTACTAGCTGTTTGAAATCTTGGTTCGAATCTTGCTTTGTCCAAGTGAAAATCGAAATTTCGAAAAAGATCTAATGCCTTTAGCATTTAATTAAATATTTAAAATGCATCCCTATTTATTTACGGGGTAAACAAATAATTAGAATATGTTTCAATTTTTGGCATCTATTTTAATATGCTATTTTTTATTTTATTTTATTTATATTCTATTTTACACTTATGTTAAATATTATGTTAAATATTTTAAACTTTTATTTGTAATTTATAAAATATTTTTAATATTAAAATTTAAGATGAAAAAATTTATTATTATTCTTCTCTTATATTTGGTTGTTCTGTTGAATATCCAAATTAACGGTAAAATGTTTGAGCTTGGATTAAAAATAAAAGATGATTGGGAAGAAAAAAGAGAGTATATTTATTTGAAAAATATTCAAATAAAAGAACGTTTTGTGTTGATAATGAATGTAAAACAAAAATGTAGAATAGTTGATTATCTTTATAAAAATTCTGATTCATATTGTAAGCTTGAAGTAAATCCTGTTAATAAAGTTTTTAATGTTCAACTAAATCAGTGGTCTAAATTAAGCTTTCATTTAAAAATGAGAATTTTGATTGAAATAGACAATAATGAAATTGTTAAGAAACCAATTCCCTAATTATTATCTATGTAATTTGAAATTTTTACTTATTTATTATTCTTGTTGTGACCGCCTCTGATAAGCTTGTTTAAAATTTTTTTAAAATACTAAATAAAATAGCCTTTTAAAATAGGCTATTTTATTTAGAATTTTTTACCATACTTTTTATATATTATTTGCTTCTATTTAATAAAGACTAACCCGAACCTTACTACGGCTATATTTTACGGTATTAACAAGTATTCCGAATCACCATAATATTTCCATACAGTGTGAAAGTCTTATGGTAGGTAAAAATATAAACAAATAAAAAATTAACAAAAGTGCAAATTTCAAAAATGCCCTAAATGGCTGAATAAATTAAAATATAAATAAGCGGTAAATTATGAAATGTATTTATGTTATTTTTTTATTTATTTTCTCACCGACTGATTTTAAATTTGCACTTTGGTTAATATAATTAGTAAATATTATTTTGTAGTTTGGTTAGATTTGTACCCCCTTTTATCTCTAAGACTTGTTTCGCAATACTCGGGTCGAAATCTTGATTGCGATGTCAAAAATCGAAATTTCGAACAGCTCTTATTAACTTAGCATATGATGCAAATGTCAAAATGAGACTATTTATTTATAGTGTCTATACAAAATTAAATTATTATAATATTTTCATAGATTTTAAACAAGTTTTTCAAATTTTCAAAAAAACAAGTTTTTCAAAGTTTTCAAACAAGTTTTCAAAAATTCGAATAATTTGAATAACTTTCTTTAAATATATGAATTTAATTTTGTTGAGACACTATAAATAAATAGTCTCATTTTGACATTTTCATCATATGCTAAGTTAATAAGAGCTGTTCGAAATTTCGATTTTTGACATTGGCAATCAAGATTTCGACCCGAGTATTTCGAAACAAGTCTTAGAGATAAAAGAGGGTACAAATCTAACCAAACTACAAAATATTATTTACGATTTATATTAACCAAAGTGCAAATTTAAAATCAGTCGGTGAGAAAATAAATATAAAATAACATAAATACATTTCATAATTTACCGTCTTATTTTTTATTAATTTAATTAGCTATTTAGCGCATTTTAAAATTTGCACTTATTGTCAATTGCCGCGTTTAATATAATATTTAATATATTTTTTTATTTGTTTATGTTTTTATCAATCATGTCTTTGTTGGTTGGAAAAAATAAACTTCGAAATAGATTAAAGCTTGAATAAAAATGTATAAAATTGAAGTTATCCTCCCCATCATTATCCCATTTATTAATCTTCAAATTTTCAGAATTTAAAATAATAAATTAAGTGGACAATGCAAGGTAATAGGAATGTAGTTCATAGAAAGAATAGGTGGTAACTGAAATGAATTATCCACAGAAAGGAATGAATAAAAATAATAATATGAAATAATTCATGGTCAGACTTAGTAAAATTATATAACGGGTCCGGGACCAACAATAAAAAATTCTTAAAATTTATTAAAAGTTTATTTTTATATGAAATTTTGTTTATTTATTTTTCGCTGAGTTGACTTTAAAAGTGCACTTTGTCAATTGCACTTTTAATAAAATTCGTCAAATAAATTATTGTAGTTTGTTTACATTTATTTTTATATTTATGTCTTGTGAGTGTATTAAAATCATTGATTAAATATAGAAAATCGAAATTTCGAAACAGCTCCTTTGCCCTTAGAATTTGATTAAAATGCCAAAATAATACACTATTTATTATAGGGTCTCATCATTAATTAAATTTATATAATAAATACCCCGGATTTTAAACACGGGGTATTCTAATTATTCCAATATTTATTGGTTTATGAAATTTAAGTCAAATTCTATTTAAAAAATGTTTAGTTTATGACTTTTGTTTATGTGTTTTAAAATTTGTACATTTTGTCAGATACCGCGGTTAATATAATTAGTCAATAATAATTTTTATTTGTTTATATTTGTACTTCGGCTCTGTTTTTACTAGCTGTTTGAAATCTTGGTTCGAATCTTGCTTTGTCCAAGTGAAAATCGAAATTTCGAAAAAGATCTAATGCCTTTAGCATTTAATTAAATATTTAAAATGCATCCCTATTTGTTTACGGGGTAAACAAATAATTAGAATATGTTTCAATTTTTGGCATCTATTTTAATATGCTATTTTTTATTTTATTTTATTTATATTCTATTTTACACTTATGTTAAATATTATGTTAAATATTTTAAACTTTTATTTGTAATTTATAACTACTATCTGTCCACTATTAAATTATCGATTGATTATTCGCTAATTTAATAGTGGAGAAGTAGGGGAGGGGTCCACCCCAAGCCCGCCGCTCCCAGTCCAACCCAATAGCTAAAGACTGGTGTGCGCGGGGGCTGACAAAAGATCACCATTTCAAAACGTCAACCGACAAAATGTCAACGTTGAAAATGCCAAATTTCAAAATGGTAAAATGTCAAAATGGCAAGATTTAAAAATGGTCAATGGCCAAAATGGTAAATAGGCAAATCTATACCTATCAGCCATTTTTTAACTTGAAAAATTATTTTTCAAATAGCAGTATCGAACACACAATATTTTTTCAAAGGCGGAAGCCTTACCAACTACGCCAACGAACACACTACTAACTAAACTGAAAAATTGAATATATTGCAGCTCCTTTTGTTTCCCTTTCAAGCGCACCTGTCAGCGACAGAGCAAAGGCGGAAAAAAATGGCCAATCTTTTTTTTTAAATCCAAGCAATTGGGTAAATCTTTGAATATCGCGATCATTCGTGCCCAATTATTCGTGCCCAATATATTCGTGCCCAATTATTCTTGCCCAATTATTCCTACCTAATTATTCGTGCCCAATTATTCGTGCCCAAAATATTCATGCCCAAAATATTCGTGCCCAAAATATTCATGCCCAAAATATTCGTACCCAGTTATTCGTACCCAAAATATTCGTGCCTAATTATTCGTTCCCAAAATATTCGTGCCCAATTATTCGTGCCCAAAATATTCGTGCCCAATTATTCGTACCCAAAATATTCGTGCCCAATTATTCGTACCCAATATATTCGTACCCAATTATTCGTACTCAAAATTTGTAAAATGGCGCGGGGGATCTGGGCGCAAGGGCAGTGGTTGGTTGTAAGCTGAGGTGTTTTTCCTGCGGGCAGTGGTATAAAACCCATAGTGCCAACACATGGCCATTTACTCATCCTGAAGCAAGAGGAATTGCTCAGCGGGGGCAGCCGAGCAAGTGTTGAAAAAATGGTAAATCTTTTTTAAATCCTAGCAATTTGGGTAAATCTTTGAATATCGCGAAGTGGGGTCTGAGCAAGTTCATCGGCCTGTACTTGTGTAATATAACCATGGCTTCGTAAAAAGCGAAGCATAAAAACCCAACAAACAATAATTATGGGTAATAAAAGTGTGTATTGCATTAATAAAATTAATAATCCGTATGTAATATTATTCTTAGGGGCGTTAACATTTTCCTCATTTTCACGTAAATAATCATACGAGTTATTGGAGAAAGAATAAAGTTGAGATAAATTCTGCATTTTAAATAGAATGAATAGTATAGCCTTCCTATGTATTTAACCTAAATTTGAATCTGAAACTATATGGCGATTGTAGTCAATCATTAACATTTGATCAAATTCACCCAAAACAATCATTTCAACACCCCCGGCTGGAATTGGGGTATTAAATTCAAGCCGAATACTAGTCGTACCGCTTTTCAAAAGTTCAAACCCGCACGAATCATCAAGCGTGGAGGTTAGTGGAATCACAAAAAATGTCCAACCACTTTTAAACTTTTCCATCGAAATATCGATTGATCTATCTGAATTGGCCACGCCCAATGCTTCGTACATGTCCACAAAAGCGCGAACAAAAAGGTTATTTTTAAATTTCAATTTATATGCGACTAAAGGAAAGATATGCCCTCCTGTATGAACAGAAATATCCCTTAAATCATATGGCTGGAAGTTAAACGGAGACAAGCCAAAGTCGCCATTGAAGGCTTTATTGGAAATTAAAGCAACAGTAATTCGGCGCGGGATGCTGGCGCTGAAAGCATTATATTCAATTTCAGTGCGCCCGGCAGTAAGAAATGTCGATTTTATTTCGGTTTTACGCACTGCATATGTGGCCGGTTTTGCTTCTAAAGTTTTGTAAATATTCATGTTAAGGGAAGGTTGTACCTCAATCATTTTTACGAATAACTTCACGTCGTGGACATAAAGTCTATATTGGCTTTCGTCTGTAGCATTCAACCTTTGCAAGGCAAATGAATTTTTTGAACGATAAATGTTAAAGTTAACATCTAAATTATTAAGTAAAAACAATTCTTGGTTTCCTAAATCAAAATCTAAGCGCGATAGGAATTGTGTATGTTTCCCTTTTGCAAACAGAGAGCATCTTTTTTGAAATCCAGAGTCAGTGCTATCATCGTGTTTCTCACACTTATAATAGCCAATGGAAGCGAGGAAATTAGATTTGACATTGTCTGGGAATGAAAGTTCGTTTGTAATGTAGGCCTTAAAAGGATAAAGAGTACCACTGTCATAAACTTCAGTATTACCAACAGTCACTTTTAACTGCTGAACAAACGTTTGACCGATACCTTGAATTGGGGCAATGCTAGTATCTGTTGCAACTATTGGACTCCATTTATTATCTGACCCAAGTTTTTCAATAGAGAGTTCAAGGTATAGATACGTTCGCGATAAATCAGTCCATAAATTATCACTAAATAAACGAAATAGATACGGAGAATCTTGGGTAATTGTACTAAGGGGAAGAATTTCTCTAAAAAAAGACCGAACGACAGAAACATTTGTAGGTGGAACAGTGAATATACTAAGGGCGCTATTAAGAGCTAAAGGACTATTTTCATTAATCTTTTTGGTGCAGCTCATTTTAGTAAGTACCTAATGTGTCTACGCGAATTCGCTTTTTAATAGATTTTTTGCGCGTTGTTTGTAAAGATTTTGGAATGAAGTTAGGAGGACCAATCGTAGAAAAAGGCCTCTTATTTATACTTTTCAAATCAATGTTTTGCTCTTCATTATTCATCTGGCCAATAGCCGGGTTCTTTTTTATATTTTTATAACGCTTAAAATCAAAGCCAGCTCCTTTTTGTTTTTGAATATTGTCTGCAGCCTTTTGAAGCAAATTTTTTAATCCAGCTTTTCCCTCGTCGACAAGTGATTCTTTAAGATTTTTTCCTTCTATAACATTACTTAAAACCCGATTGCTAGATTCTAAGCCTTGCCTAGCTAGAGTACTACCAATTTGCTTACCAAAAGGTATAAGATATCGCATGAAGCTTCTAAGGATCGAACCTAAGCCATTTCCTCTTTGATATGGAATACCGCGGAAAACATTATAACCTCCCCATTGAAAATTAGTATCAATCGATTGCTCGGTAAGAGTTGACCAATCGATATGTGCGGGATCAAAGTCAATATGCATTTTTTAAATTAAAAAAAATCTAAATTATTCTCAACTATTTATACTAAATATTTTATTTTTCATAAATTCAGAAACGAAATTATCAGCTTTTACTCTGTTTAAAAATTGAATTATTTTATTCATAGAGAATCCAATACATCTTTGAAACAGGAAAAATATTACATGTTTCCCACAAGTAGGTTTCAATGAGTTTTGTACCTGAACGGGATTGAAACGAACACGTTGAAATTTACTCAGATAATTTTTTATATGAGGACTGATTGGAGGCCATATACCTAAAGAATCATAATAATCTATAGTAGAAGGATATTCACAAAATATTGCGACCCAGTGGCTACCAGCTGCACTACAGGGATCTATATTCACAACCATGCAAAAGGGTGTAAAATTAATTGAAACCGGAATTGTATCGGCTGCAAAACATCCAATATAAAAATCTTTTGTAATATTATTTCTATGTAAAATTTTATTTATCTGAAGAGTATTCATAATATTCTAAAAATATGTTGACTTCTTAAAATGCAAAGTCAATGTACATGTTCCGTACTGGAAGGGCATTAATGTTCCGCTAGAAGTCCTGATTTCAATAAAAATTTCATTAATCTCTTTTATTAACAATTTGTGATATTGAACAAAGAGAAATTGTTCTTCAATAATTTCATCTTGCTTTCCTCTAATATTTACTATTCTTAGTACAGGAGCGGTCACATCACCAATTATCATCGGTTCAATTAACCCGGGAGCATATACGTGAAAAGAAGACACGCCACCTTTCATATCAGGCATAAATTTTGCAATAGATGTCTCAAACATTTCAAGCTTATCAAATCCTAAAATATAAGCTAGTTGCTCTGTCATTGTTACACTCTTTATAAAGCTGTTATTTAAAAACAAGGAGAAACGATTTTTCTTTTCGTAAAATTCAAAGTTACACACAGAAACTGGCTTGAGATAAGCATGTTCCCAAGACTCAAAATCGCTTCCACTAGTTAATAAAAATTTTATTACACTATCTTCATTTTCATTCATCTTTGTTACTAAATCTGAATAAATTTCAGATTCAGTCTTTAAGGGAATAGAATCAACCGAATGTTCTGGTTTGGTCGTATTTTCATTCTTTTTTAATTCGCTAAGTCGTTTATACTCTTGCTTAGCTTGATTTTTAAGTTCTTTTAATTTATTAATATATTCAACATGTATTGCTTTCATTTTAGTCGATAAGTCTCTACAACCTTCATCAAGGGATCTATTTAAATTTTCTTTCAGTTGCTGAGGATTCAAAAAGCTGGAAGATGATACATTTAAGCGGACGCTCTCATTAGTTTGCCACGTCACAGTAAAAAATTGTTCCGATGTAGTGCCAAGAGATGGCCATGAATAAGGATAAACCATTACAGCCAAACCTACGGTCCATTCAGAATTAAATTGTAATATCTGGGGTAAGCGAACTCTGAATGAATTTGTCTTATTACCCTCAACATTAGTGTTAGAAGGAAGAACGATATAAAATGAAGTCATTTTAAATATAAAATTTTTATATTTACTTAGTATTTATATATTATCTCCAATTAACCGCACTTGCGGGAATCCAGCTATTGAATCTCGTACCATACCCTTTCCATTTTACAAAGTATTGATTTTCCCCATTAAATTTTCTCTTTTTCAAAACCTTTTCTATATCATAAAGTACATCTTCCTTTTTACGTTCTCTAACTAAACACAAATCATTTGCATAAAACCAACCTCTAATTAATTCGCCTTTGTTATCGGATAGTCTGTAAGTAGGGCGCTGGTGTGGAACTAGCCGCACCTGTTTAATAATAAAAATCTCATCTGTAAAATTTGGCAAGTATCCCTTTTGAAATACATGTTTATATTTTTCTATCCTAACTTTATCGCCAACTGAAAAATCAGTATGCTTCCAACGTTTTGGAGCAACTTCCTCTCGCGCTTGCTCTTTTAATTTTAGTCTTAAACCTTCTGCGTTTTTATAGGTAACATCAATAGGTCGCATGCCAATACTCGAATTAAAAGAATTATTTATTGCGCTAACAATATCTTGAACAACGTCTACCCATTTTAATGTTCGTTTTTCAGTAAAATAACGATAAAGTCTTTCTTTTATGCTACGATTAGCTCTTTCTGCCATGCCAGCGTGCCATTGAGGGGATGTGACCATGGAAAAATGTTCCATATCTATAGATTTAAAATATTTTTGGACTTCTTTTGCTGTAAACTCTAGTCCCTGGTCTGTAAGTAATTTCCAGGGAACAATTTTTATTCTTGAAAATAATCGTTTAAAGGCTTCAATCATTTTGTCGCTATGTTTACTTTTAACGGGCTCAACAAATATCATTCTGCTAAGCGTGTCAATGCAGACGAGAAGATATTTAAAGCCTTTATTCTGACTGCTTAAACGATCAAAAATACTCAAATCAGCTTGCCATTCGGTATGTAAGCCAGCTGCGAGGGTGCGCATCCGTTTATATTTCCTAACTGCGCGCCTATGCAAAGTGTAAGTATTCTGAGTCGAAAGATATTTCTTGACAGCATCACGAGTAATACTTTTGTCTACACGTCTTGCTTCCCTAAGGAGGGGTTCAAGAGACGTAAAACATGTTGATGAATTTATATCTTTATATAAACGATCCAAAATGCTTATTTGTTTTATCGATAATTTTTCCATAGCACAGGTTTAAATGAAAAAACTCCGCTACCAGTTTGAGCTGAAGACGTACCTGGAGGAAATAGTAAGTTTTTTAAAAATGTATGTTTATCAATTCTACGAATAAATTCGTCGTAACCTGTGGGTAATGGCTTTATTCGATCCCCATTATTTTTAATTATATAATTTATAATTTCTTCAACATTACTTGTAATAAATGGATAATTACCTCCTAATTTCCTTGCCAGTCTTAAGTCAGGTGTTATACCTAATGATTCAGAGTTTTCTTTAATATATTTAAGAGCCTTTTCGCTTAAATCTAATTCATATGCATTTTTACCTTCCTCATCGTCCGCTGAGAAAAATTCAGGCTCGTCAACTTTAATGTTTTTATCGACAAAAGGCTTGGAAGGTTTTTTACCAACCTTTGCAATAGATTTTCTATTCAAATTTTTAATTTGGACTGTTTTCTTTAACCTGTTAACATTAATATTTTGTGGCGGTTTTAAAACTTTTTCATTATAATTATTTAATATTTTCTCAGAAATTTCTCCAATATTCTTAAGTTTAACATCAATAGGTTTTTCTTCTTTTTCTCTAACAAGTTTATTATATCTTTTGAAGTCCTGTTCATAATTAATAGCTTGTGTATCAGGATCTAATTTAGAATTATCTCTAGCATTTTGTAGGCGTTCGCGAATTAAACCAAGTGATGTTCCATCATTACCACTACTACTATTAGTCTTTTCCTCAAGTCTTTCTGAACCAATTAAACTTTGAAAAAAATCTTCTGGTATTAAAAGCATTCGAGATGCGTGACGCATTTTTGAAATTAATTAAATTAGAAAAATGTCTTATTTATTTATATTTTTATTTAACAAAATTCTCTGCGATTAAGGGAACAATAAGACTAGCAAGGAGACCCGCCACTGGTGGGAAACCACGACCATTTTGAATTTTATCGCAGAGTAGCAGGCGCTTAGCCGAAGAAGCGCTTCGCGAGCGACTAATTTTACGTAATAATGATGCCTGGTTTTGTAGATTTTGTATTCTGTTTTTATGAAACGGAAGCCTCCCTTTTAACAAATTCAAGCAAATTTCGACTAAACATAGTAATTGTTCGTCAGAAGCGTTTGAAATAATTTTATTAATTGCATTTTTTGATTTTGCGCAACTCATTAAATTATTTAGAAAGATTGCGTTTTTTTCGATTAAAAAACTAGTTGGAAAAATTTTATTTTTCATTTTGGAAGATAAATAATTGTATTTTCGTTTGGATATATATGTGTTCTCAGTCGAAGGACTTCGGGAGTGCTTGGATGAATATCAACCAACAGATAACCAAAGTTCTCTTTAGTTGCATCCCCATAAGCTTCTAAAAAATATTTTGAGCGTGAAGGGAAAATTTGCATGGCAAGTGTTCTAATTTGTAACGCTCCCGCGGGGTTTCTCATTAATAATAAATAGTGAGAATTATTACGAGGAATTTTAAGTTCTTTCGAAAATAAGTGCTGACTAATTAGAATTAACTCATCTTCCAATTATGAGACCCCCTTGTAAATATTGTTTCAATAAGACGCTGATCTATCCCAACCATTAAATCATCTAGTACCAATAGCATAGAACCCTCTGATTGAATTGCTTGCTTATGAATAAAGTCCTCTCCCACATTTGGCACCCCATTATGAACAATGACCCGTGTTTTTCCTTTATCAACATATCCTTTTCTTTGCATTAGTAAAATATTTTTATTTAATTCCCCATAACAATAGAAAACAAACGAAATATCTGTATCAGAATTAATCAACTCTGTTAAATTGTCTAAAAATTTTTTAACCCATTCTGATTTACCAGACCCAGTACTCCCTGAAACTATCATTGTAAAAGGGTGCTTGAATCGTGTATGTAAATAATCAATTTTTTCGAATCCTTCCATTTTATTTGCTATAGTAAATTAAAAAATTTAGATTCTAATATTCTTTATTATATATATTATTATTACATTTTCTTTTATACTTTTTTTACAAAAAAATGAATTTTAATTCCTTCAACACATTCGGCCATTGGGGTGTATTCGAAACCCAGGAAGAAAAGCAAATACGCGAACAACAGGAGAAGGAACTACAACAACGTGAATCACAGCAACAAGAAACAGAATCGTATGAACATACTTCAAAAAATAGGGAAATGGAAAATGTAATTAATTTTTTCTTTGTCTAACTTTACTTTCTATTTAGAATGAAATTGATCTCTTGGTCACCTCGCTTGGATTAACCTCTCTGGTTAATGAAATTGGTGAAGATAAAAACAAGGAGGATGTTTTGAAATCTAACGACGAAAAAATACTAGAGATAGTACTAGAAAGCGATGAAGAAAATGAAAAAGAAAGTATTGATCCAACAAATTTATCAGAAAAAAAGGAAGAAAAGGAAAAAGACGTTAAGAAGGATGAAAACCCTTTTATCGAGCCAGAACCAGTTGAAATAGAAAACCCGTTACCATTATCAATTTTGAAACGTCGCTCAGTGCCTTTGATTGATTAAAGGTAATATTAAAGGTAATAATTTAATCAATAATTAAATTATTGATTAAAACACACAACTGTGCATTCAAAGAGCTTCATGTACTATTCTATAACATCGAAAAACGCCGAGAAATAATTTTACACTTACAAAATCAAGTTCAACTACGTACATCCCATTTGCTTTTTTATAAAAATTTTGTTATTCGGTGCAACGATTTTACTGTCCACCCAGCAAGTATTGTTCCTGCTATGGGCGGATATTTGAATATAACGGTAATAGTTTAAAAATTTAAAAAATAATAAAATGTAAATTGAGGTACGTGGGTACTACTATGTAAAACATGGCATCAAATTACGCCACCCATACTTGCCATGCTTAATTGAATTTGGAGGAGGACATCATCGTTCTTACTACCCGCTCGAAGTTATTTGTGTTTCTAAGAAAAGTAAACAGATGAAAAAATGCTAATAATAATATTTTTAATATAAATTATATTTTTAATATAAATTATATTTTATTTATTTATCTTGTATTTTTATTATAATTCTTTTTTTATTTTTATTTCAGAAAGTAAATATGAATATCGAAAATTGTACATGTGTTTTTAGGCTTTTACCTGGTATTCAAAGATTTTCATCAGAAAATTTTCTCAAAATGGCTAGAAACGGCATAAATACTGAATATAATCCTAAACGATTCCACTCAATAATAATGCGTATTCGACATAAACATAACAGGACAACAGCAGCATTAATTTTTCAATCTAGTAAAGTGGTGCTAACAGGTGTTCCCAACGTAAAGTTAGCTAGAAGAATGGCTTTAATAGTGTTAAAAAGAATAGAATTTTCGATAAAAGAAGCAAATATACAAAAATTTTCAAAACTTGGAATCATAAGCCTTAAAGTTACAAATATTGTCAGCTCATATCGAAGTATGAACCGAGTTGCCATTGAATTGATATGTCGCGTCTTTGAAACGCGATTGCAAAAATAAACTTTTTATTTAAATTTAATTACTCATTGCTATAAACTTTTCCCAGACCTTTTATCTACTTTAACAATCTAAAATTGTATTTTCTTTTCGCCTTTCTATTTAAATGATTTTCAATTTCCTACTAATGACTGCTTCTTCTCAATTCTCTCCTTACTCACTCCTAGCTTTCCTATCAGCTTTTTCTCACTTCAGTGTTCCATAAAAAATGTTTTCCTTCCACCTTTTCGCTCGCTATTTTATAATCACTTGTAAATTTAATTAAAGTAAATAAATTTTTTATTTGTGTGGAAATTTTAGTAAGAGTATTTCCCCCCACATTAGCGGTTTTGAGCCGAGCCGCTAAAGCTCAGCCGGTGATCTCGTCACCGTTTTCGACTTCCTTTCCTTTTCGGACCATTTCCTAATTTGCCTGCGTTCTGAGGAATTTACGCATACGGACTTCCCGCTCTTAACACATTTAAAATTTTTTAATTATTTTTCACATATTTCGCCATGTCCACACCTTATCGTGACCAGCTCACTTTCCTCCACGAGCAAGGTCTAAAGATTATTGATAATCAAAAGACTTTCCCCCTTCCACCCGATCAGGTAAATTTATCCAAATTCCATTCCGACACTCGGAAATTGTTGAGTTCTTTAGAAATTGAGCTCGAATATGTTTCAAAACCTATTGCAGATATTTCCTCAACACACGACAAATGGATGGATGCTCGAACCAACATGACCGAAGCGGAAAGGACCGCCGATACACTCATATATGAAAATTTTGCCGCAACTGTTCCTTATTTACGTACGTTATTTCAACTGAAAAAATATTTGAAAAATCTCCGTTCCTCACGACAAATTCTAATTTCAGCTCTCCCCGATCCAAATCAACCCACCGAATCACACTGGCATTTACCGGAAATATCCCTTCCCGAATTTTCGGGTAATTGCCAATCAACGTCAACCCCTAACAAATACACTTCAATCCCCACTAATCAAATTTCACCTTTATTCCCCAGTTCAAACACACCTCCCTCCCCCTCCCTGACATATCAACCGTATTCGGGTTTTAACCCTTATTTTTATAACAACATGTACACCCCATCCCCAATTCCCGTACAAAATTTAAGCATTAAGCCAGCAACAACTCCACAAGAAAATGAAATTGAAAACAACACAGTGACCAACTTCTGCGTCCAAAACACCCCGTTCGAGCCATCTCCAGATTCCTGTACACTAGAAGGTATAATTGCAACTGACCCTCCCCCAACACCTACCGATGAAAATTTTTTAAAAGTTAAGGAGTATTCCCCACCTCTCCATACACATCTCCCGCCAATTACACACAAACACCGGACCGTAGATGACGGATCCGATTTTATAGTAAAAGAAAATTCTTCTAGTACTTTAGAACCCCCACAACACCACTCATCCCCCGCCTCTATTTCCGACAAAATTATTGTTACTCCACACGTGGACAAAATTGTCCTTTCCACTCAACACACTATAGATGCCCAAAACCACCCAACTTTATCCCGGGGCGGAGGGCGCTCCGAGCGATATTCTGAACCACCCCCTCATAATAAAAAATTTAAAATTTTATTAAAAGCTAACAGGCCAAATCATCCACAATCAACCGACACCAACATGGAATGCAACCCAACTCCAACAATTGGAATTGCTACGACTGAATCCTCAGCACCACCGTCAACAGAAACCACCTCAACTCGCCCACAACTCCCTTCATTGGCTTCCTTCAAACCACCTTCACTGGCCTCCTTCAAACTCCCTTCACTTGCTTCATTCAAACCCCCTTCTCTGGCTTCCTTCAAACTCCCTCAACACTACACCATTGCATCCCGAGTTCGCATATTTGAAACTGGCACAATCGAAGCCTTGCCGACACATGAACAAGCAATAAAAAAGAGTCTAATAAGAAAATGGGAGAAGAAAAGAAATAAAAGGATCCACAAAAGACTCACACTTTCGAAACCCACTCCCCTTAATAAGATTTATATTAACCCCAACTATATACAGACATTACTAACCCCGCCACCACCTCCAAATGTCTCCCACAATCTGATTACTAATCGAGCCCCCTCAATTCGATCATTATGGGTACCAATCTTAACTCCCGCAACTCCACTCGTGCCTTTCCAATTTATTAATGTCCAACCAGTTGTTGGCCCGGAGTGTCGCGTCTTTGAAACGCGATTGCAAAAATAAACTTTTTATTTAAATTTAATTACTCATTGCTATAAACTTTTCCCAGACCTTTTATCTACTTTAACAATCTAAAATTGTATTTTCTTTTCGCCTTTCTATTTAAATGATTTTCAATTTCCTACTAATGACTGCTTCTTCTCAATTCTCTCCTTACTCACTCCTAGCTTTCCTATCAGCTTTTTCTCACTTCAGTGTTCCATAAAAAATGTTTTCCTTCCACCTTTTCGCTCGCTATTTTATAATCACTTGTAAATTTAATTAAAGTAAATAAATTTTTTATTTGTGTGGAAATTTTAGTAAGAGTATTTCCCCCCACATTAGCGGTTTTGAGCCGAGCCGCTAAAGATATATCAGAAATTTAGAAAGCGACATAAATATGACAAATTATTTGAAAAAATAACAAAAGTTTCCTATGATCCCACAATATTTCCAGCACTTAGATTCAAGATGAAAGACGACAAGTTTATAAGAGAAGCTTCATGTCTTATCTACATATCTGGGCGTGTTATATTAACCGGAATAACTTCTACTAAACAGGTCGAATATTTATTCGATAACATAATTTTACCCCTACTTGTAAAATTTCCAAGATTGTAATAAAAAATATTTATATTGAAAAAATAAATTCTAATATAATATCAATGAAAATAAAATTAAAAAAATAAAAATTTATCTTACGGTAACATTTATTTGTCTATTTTAAAATTAATCTAAAATTTCAGTGATTGGCTTATGACACCATATCTAAATCCAAAAGATGATGCTGAAAAACGGTAGAAATTTTTTGAAATGACTTTATAAATTTTATATAAATTTTTAGTTTTAACAATGTCCACTCTCGGGCAAGAGTCAAAGTTGAAATGACATTCGGTCAATGGAAAAGACGATTTCTCATTAATTCATTCGGTTACCGAACGAAGTTAAACATGGTTCCAACGCACATTCTAACAACATGTGTTCTACATAACCTAGCCAAAATTCTTAAACTTCCTGAGATAACAATTGAAGAAGTTGCGGAAAAAACCGGTCATGTACTTATTCCAAATCCACAACCAGCAGATAGATTTTTGGAAGTAGAAGAGCCGGAATGCGTTAATGAACAAGAAAATAGTGCTCCAAAAGGATCAAAGTCAATGAACGTAAACAAGCGGGGGTAAAAAAACGGGCGGAAATTACTAAAAATCGATTTTGTAATTTTGATTTATCCACAAATATTTAGTTTAATGTTTTTGTTTAAAATTTAAAAAATAAAAATCCGCTTAAAAGATAAAGATCCGCTCTTAATCCCGCTTAATCCAGAAATCTACTTAGCCCCTCCAATTTTTATTTCATTAGATAGAGGAGAGTGTTTTACATATTATAAGTAAAAATCAGAATTTTAGCTTAATTTTCCTAAGACTTATAAAATTTAAAAGATGCTTGATTGAAATAATCAAGAAAAAACAAATAAAAAATGCCTATTGGAGACAATGAGCCCCTTTTTCGCTCAAAAATGGGGTACTTTACGCGAAAATTTATAGTAAATTTATTTTTCAAAAAAAAATTTAAAAATTATGTCAAAAATAGAGCATACTCTAATCTATCTAAAAATATTTAATTTGTAATTTTTCGATTGAGTTTGGATTTTTAAAAAATTTTTAAAGAGATGCGTGTAAGATTTTAACCCTCATCGGAGCAGGGTTAAAATCTTACCCGCAGCTGCGGGTTCTATTACCCGCAACCCTCATTTTTGAATAAGGGTTAGAACCTGACCCGCAGCTGCGGGTTCTATTACCCGAGTAACTAACCACAGCTGCGGGTTACCCCGACCTCCATTTTTGAATAAGGGTTCTGGGTTAACCTACCCGCAGCTGAGGGTTGGTTAACCCCTACCTCCTTTTTTGCATACCGCCCCTGGAGACTTCCACCCGATAGTGCATGTTATTTTTTGGAAGCTTGACATTGTTCACAGCTAATTTAGGAAAATAAATTTGTACATATTTTCAAAGATCCATTAAAGAGTGTTTTCATTTTTCATTTTTTCACATTGTAGCATCTATTCTATTACTTATATGCCAAATTGTATATCTTTCGAAAAGCCCTTCGAGCGGAGTCGAATGTCTCTAAACTCACTGAAAGCTGATTTAAATCAACTTAGCTATGACCGTTTGTTTTGTTTAGAATCCCCACAATCAATTAATGTATCATCCAAACAAGCTCGGGGAGTTCTTTTAAATGATATATGATAAATTACTTCTATTACTGTAATCTCAATCCTCTTAATCCCTCATATCCTCTCAAACTGAAAAATAATTTGATGGATCTGATTTTGTAACGCCAAAAATAGCTATGAACACGTTCAAGCCTCCAAAAAATAAACAACAGATGTTCATTGCAATGGTACTGACTTACCCTTTCGGAATTTTAAAATTACAAATAAAATAGGTAAATAACATTAAGAAGATTTTTGCTTAAATTCACTCTCTTTCAAGATTATTTTAAAAATCTCTTACTTCACATTGCTCCCAACCATGTTCAAGTCACGCCGCTTTTCATCTCCCCTTTTTTCCAAAACGGCCTAAAAATACATTATCAAAATATTATTTCATGTTTTTAATTACATTAAAAGATGTTTGAATGAATTATTATGTAGCTTTATAACAGAATTTTTTTGCCCAGTTTGCTTTTTATATTTTTGGAAGCCATGAGTTGGCTAATATAGATGACATCAGATTTGTTTCAAAACAAAACTTATATTTCGAAAATAAGATCCAAAAATATCGAGATCGAAAATTTCACTAAAAGGTCGCAATCGAAAAAGAAAAACCTCGAAATTCGAAACAACTCTGCCTGACCATAGTGGTATAAGGATCATTAAATCCACATTCTGCCGACTCTTGGTACATACGAATTTTGATACCGGGTTATCTAGTAAGGATGTCACGAAATGCGTGAAACCTGATACCCTTCCTCTCGCAGCTTTCGTTACTGTTATTTGAATTTAGATTTATAAAATAGAGTAAAGCAGCTAGGCTATAGCTATTTCTTTCCTTTAGCTAGAGCAAAAGGTTATTCGGCGGCTGGGAGCGAACCAGCATCTTCAGTAGACCGGACTGATGTGTTAGCCATTACACCACGCCGCCTACTGCTCAGCCTTAGGAAATTAATAGCTATATGCTTTACAATAGGTCTGAAAAAATAAGATTCGAAGTCCATTGGAGCTCGTTTTCCTGAACGCATAATTTTTGAAAGTTGGTTAATTCAAATAAAATGTTCACTGTACCTATTACGTATGAGGTAGTAGTAACTCCTTAACTGAATCATATGTTCTAACACATAAATATGTAGATAGACATCATAAAAATCTATTTGGAAGCGTAAACATTTTTATGGACGCGTAAAGGTTGATTCTATAAAAACTTGTCAGTTTTTAAAAATATGCTTTATTTCAATTTGAATTTGTAAAATGCTTAAACATAAAATAGAAATTCGCCATTTCGTTTTTATGTGTAGATTTTATTTGTTGGAAGTTGGATAGTCCAACTAAAATGTTGAACTGTAATTGATAGGGATCGGATTTTTAAGTCATAATAACCTTAAAATAGGTATCAAAATAGGCTGTATAAAATGCTAAAATAGGTGACAAAAATATCGAAAATGGTTGTGCTAAAAGTCAGCATAATATGCAAGAAAGGCAAAAATGCCAAATAATTTCGATTTTAGAACACTTATTTTTGAAAGTATGACATTAATCATTCAATTTTTAATAAAGTGTTTACTAATTTGTCGAATAATACATAATGAGGCTTTTTCAGGCTACGTATTTTTTGGAAGCCAGTTTTACTCTGGCTAATTTAAGCATTGATCTTTGGTGAATAATAAATATTCTTGACACTACAGACTAAAGACATTTTTAACAGACCAAGAAGACATATTTCTTACTCGTTCTGATTTTGAAATTTTGACTTCCAAATCATGAGAATTTCAAAGTCCTAGAAGTTGAATTTCATCCTATTATAGAGCCGAAGGCAAAAATTTTGTAAAATTTTCAATGGCCAATAAGCTTTTACTGTATTACCGATACGGAATACCGAAAAATACGGCCGTAGTAAAGGTTGATTCTATAAAAATATTTTCTATAAAAATTTATATAAAGGGTGCGGCAAATTGGCGGCCGCTTTTCTTTTTGCTATAACTTTTTTAATTTTTAATGAAAATACTTAATTCTTTTTTTACTGGATTCCCAGCACTCTGAGAATTTTTTTGGTACCAAAAAATAGAAATTTGGTTCACAGATGGTAAAGATAAGCCGGTCCAAACATTCAAAATCATCAAAAAACATTTTTTCATGTCAAATTTTAATTGATCATAACTTCGTCAAAAATCATCCAATCTCGATGATTTTAGTACCAATCGACTCGTCTTGTTCAGGCGCATCAAAAAAGCTTATAATTTGATTTTTGAAAATTTCACTAAAAAATTTTATTTTTACCATAATTATTTTATTTTAACATTCAAAGGACCGTAGCTCATTCGATTTTTATCGAAGCCCAAAAATTTTTATGTCATTCGAATCAGATTGAAAAGCTGATTCGAACGATATAAACATTTCCGATATAAAAATCATAGCCTTGAATCCAGACCGACTTTTATCCGAAAATTTTTGCTCGAACTTTGAGGAAAGATTAAACTGACTAAACTATGAAATTTAAAAACAATTTTCATATCAAAAAAATTCTCAGAGTACTGGGAATCCAGGAAAAAAAGAATTAAGTATTTTCATTAAAAATTAAAAAAGTTATAGCAAAAAGAAAAGCGGCCGCCAATTTGCCGCACCCTGTATAATTCTATAAAATGCGGGCTCTAATTTTTAATAAAAAAAAGTAATGCTGAGCTATTGGCTGAGCTATAACTCTTTCTGCTCACTCTCATTTAGTTTGTGAACAAAGTTGTTTCCAATGTAAAGACTGTCGCCTTGAACCATACATCCATTAAATACAAATTGAGTTCCGGCCTTTATAAAAAAAAGGTTACTTAATGTTTCAACTCTCACTGTGAGGGAGGTAATTAAATAAATACGGTATGTTTTTGCTTAATATATAATTTGATATATTCCACAATTTTAGTATAGATATAAGTATGTATTAACGAAAAGACAAGGGCAAATATTTTTATTTTTGAGTCAAATTTTTAATTTGACTAATTCGCCAAAATCATAAACTCAATTATAAAATGGAATCCTATCAAACTCTCCTCAATAAAAATGTACTTAATAAAAGATTATTAAGTATGAAAAGATTAACAGTAAAGATCATCTAAGATACAATAACACAAATACTAATGCATTTGCAGATGACAAAAAAGCAATTATTATTACGAAAGTTACATTCAATGGGGAATAATTATCATGATAATCTTCTCATTGTGAAATCATATCAGGCACTATATTACTCTAGGTGTAATCTTATATTCTTAAAGAGGCACAGTTAAATATCAGCCCACCTTCTGTCCACAAAATCTTGGAGACTTGGGAGGTTCAAGAGCCCTGTCTTTTGTCTTGCTTTCTTCTTCCCCTCCAAATGGAGCATTCCAATTATCCTCAAAATATTTTTTAGATT